CCCTTCCCGGGCCACCTGGTGGACGTCAGCGGCACCGGGACCCTGTCCCACAGCTACCAGTACCAGGTGCGTCTGACCGGAGACTCCGGGAGTAATGAGTTCAAATTCTTAAAGCCAGTTTTCCCCAACCTTCCGCCCCAATGCCCTGGGAAAGAAATAGAGGGAAATCCTACCTTCTACAATAGCTTGGGGTTCAATATTCAGTGACTGTAACTTTTATATTCCATATGTATGTTGTTTTTGCCATTTCCATACCAACGTTATTTCCCCCAATTTGTGTGTATTTGAAGTTATACTGATGTTATTTTTGTTTTCACATGTTCTACCCGCCTTTACTTTTAAGTGAATGTCTTTATTTGTGGTTGCAATGGAATAGTAACTTATTCTCTAACCTAGAAGATCTTCATCTGTAATTAAGTTGCCTTCTTAAATAACAACACTAAATCACTTTTTGTTCATGGCCCTCTCTCCAGTTGAACTTACACTCACAATTATGCTTATGATAAAATAAAGCAGACCACTTTAAAAGTACTTCAAGTGTTCAAGCCTTTCTTCGTTTTCTTTTTTGCATTTTTTCTTGTTGTTTAATAATCATTATAAAGAAATGTCATTTTACTTAAAATTCACACTTTTAGTTAACATTTTAAAATGTTTATTACTGCTGAAAATATACGTGAAAAAATCATGTCCTATGATACAGTCATAAACATAATCACTTTGTTAGAAAGAGCCAGAAGGCAATTTTCTTAGCATCTCTTCCTTATTCATCCTAGAGAGTTATTGTTAATACATAATATTGTGGCCACTCACCATGGAATATGAAGTTACAATTTTCCAGATGTCTCATTTTTACAAAGGTGTAATACAATCTAGTTGAAAAGAGGCTCCCGAAGAATAATTTGTTTATCATAGAGTTGACTTGTGTGCTAATGTGTATAACTTTTTGCCTCCTTGTGTTCTCCCAGAATTTAATATACATATACACTGGGCACTAATTTTCAAACTTTAAAAACTTACAGCCAATAGAAAAATTATATTGTATATATTACATAACATACAACAGAAAGAAATGTTTTATGAACAGTGTTTAGCTTTTTTGTGATGCATCTGGCATTGCCTATATTATTCCACTCTCTTTAATTTACAAATGTAGTCATGATCCACTAAGTTGACTTCATGGCCTACTAATGGGTGGCAATCCAAAGTTTTAAAACCACTTTTCTCAGAGATATCTGTAGAGTATTGAAAAGTATGAAAACATAGTACTTTAGGGTTTTAATTTTTTTAAAAATTCAAGCCATTGTAGGAGGAAGTTTTGTCTCATGCTATACAAGCACCAGTCAATCACTCTTGCCTTTAGTGAACTGACTACATTACAGAAGAAAAGGCCTTCATTGTTGGGGGAGAAGTTTTCCAATGAATTTAATCAAAAAGTCTAAAGTCTGTATGTTGAAGAAGGAAAGTATAGATGAACAAAATGAGTAAGGATATAGAGGGAAATTAAGTGTGTGCCTGAGAGAGAGTGGCAGGGCAAACAGGAAATGCATGAGGGTGAGTAAAATTATTGCTTTTATTGCTTCTAGTGCCACAGACTAGAGTAAATGCCAGAAACTGCCTCTTGAAGATATTTTTATCTTAACATTGTAGAGGGGCTTGGTATTAGTCAGTTACTAATGCCTGGAAGTACAGTCTTTTGCTCTAGCATATCCAAAATAATCTAATGTTTCACTTCTTGAAAGCTAAAATTTAACTACCAATTCTTTTGAACTGTGTGGACTGATTAATTATTCTCTGAATTCAAGAAAAATGGAAGGAACAAAAGTCCATGCAGGCTAACTAAATTATAATTTTCTATTTTCAGAAGTGGAACTAGGAGTAAATTCTTTCCTCCCTAAGAAAGCTTCTTTACATAGAGAACAAATACTCATAATATAGCAATATATCTAAGTTAAGTATTAAGGTTACCTCCTATCTTTACTGCATTTAGTGGGGAAAAGATGGAGGATCACTGGCTTAAAGAGATGTACAGTGTTACAGGCTGTCAAAAATGAAGGTGGGGTTGTTCTAGCAGCCTGTGTCCCAAGTAAGCTGGACCTCTCTCATCTATAATGGGGGAGGGGACAAGGGCATTTCAAACAGCTCAAGCAGAAAAACCTAACAGGTCCAACAGCAGAGAAGAGGTCCAGGTACTTGTCCTGTTGCCTTGAGTTTTTCCAGCTGTCTGAACAGGAGGACTTGTCTAATTATGGAATGAACTATGTGTTTCCTGACTCTAACAGAGAGTGGCCAGGCCTTCAAGAGCTCAGATGCCCAGATACAAGTAACTAACCAGTTCTCTTAAAATGTATTGCTAAAAACAAATTTTACTCTTATGCATAAAATACCTCATTTATAGTTAAATTTAAACCAGTACATAGGAATCAAATTATATCAGCCAATTTTATATTAAAGGACTGTAGGTGGTCCAATGGGAAAAGGTCACTTGTCAAATGGAAATGCAAGAGACTGCCCAGCCTCCCAGAGTGGATTTTCTTGAAAACCATTACCAATAAGAACTAAATAACAATTTAGGTTGGAATTTGCCAAGAGCATGGGAAAGAAAGGACATAAGGACATTTTTCACTTACAAACACATTGTTCTCATCTCCCTTCTACCTCAAGTCTCTCTACCACTCCTGCATCCAGTGATTAACCTAACATGGACTCTCTGACCTCTGTTCCAGTTCAGTCATGCTGTACTTTTTCACCACCCAGAACTGTTCAGTCTATGGAACAATTTCAAATATCTCCCTCTAAGAACACAACCTTCTATGCCTTTAACCCTCTCATCTTTTTACTCCTATCACATCTTGTCTTGACCTTATCAAGACCTCCATTCCATGCTGCTGCTACTACCTATCAGCTCCCTCCTGTTTTAATTTCCTTCCCATCTAGCTGATTCCCTGTTTTACCACTCCCAATCACTCACATACTCATATTCTCAATACTGTTCAGTGTTCCTTCTCTAAAGGATTTCCTTCATCACCTGATGAAACTCCACGTGAAATGAATATAATTATCACCTTCCTCTTCTCTTACACCTGGGAAGCTGCACTCCATAAAACAAAACTTAGAAAATTATCAATACTATTGCCACTAAGTTTATCACATCCAAACTTATTTGGGCTTTCACAGTCAAGAAATCCTTTTACATTTTCATAATCAGCTTTCTCTTTTATTCTCCATAGCAACTACTTCAAACTTACTTACATTAAACTTCTCACTCTACTACTTACATATCCTTCTAGCATTTGAACTTCCTTACAGAGAGAATATAACCCATCAGATGGAAATTATCTCAATTTCCTCTCTCCAAACCTGTTCTCTTGATAGCATATGTACTATAATTTTCTCTGCTGAGGTCCTTCCCACCTAAGTCCAATTCCTTAGTATATTTGTGGGATCCTATCTTTAACCACTTTCTAGGGGCTTCACATTGATTATATCCTTTCTTTTGAATCTTAATTTTCTCCCTCTCTACTCAAAACTACAAATCAGCATTTAAAATAAGTTCATGTTTCTCTAGGCTTAAAAAACCCTCTTGAATCAAAATTACCCTCCAGATACTGATTTACTTCTTTTACAGCTGCATTTCTCAAAAGGATTCCATTTTTACTTTCTTATCCCTCTCACTTTTCAATCCAGTACAGTCTAATTTTCATCATAACCACTCTACTAACAATTGCTATTGTAAAGCTCATCAAAGATTTCTGTATAAGTAGTGATAAAATGACACAGTGGCTTATAAAATTGTGTCTCTTTCTTGTAATGGCCACAATGTAACTGATAACTGGGTAGATAGAGCAGCTTTGCTCCTCACGGTCCTTTTGGAGCCAAATTTCGTTCCAAGTAATTGCTCTTACATTCCCTAGTGCAATATCATAATCTACATGCCTGTAGCATGGTCACTGCCACATCTGGGTTCTAGCTGTCTAGGAGGGAAGAGACACATCCAGACATCCTCCATTCCAGACCCAGGAGTGGCAAACAAAAATTCTGTTAACAATCTGTGTGAACTTAATTAGCCACACCTAACTATAAGGGAGGCTGAGTCACCATATGCCTGGGAAAAGTTTGATTACTATAAACAAAAGGAGAACAGATTCTGGCAGGCATATATCAGAGTCCTCCATGATGACCATCTCCTTAAATCCAATGACATTTTAATACTTCTTTTTCTTGAGTTTTCTGAAGCATTTGATCTTTTGTTCTACTGTTGATCTTCATCTCCTGGAAATGCTGTTTGTTTTTGATTTCATGATTCTGAACTCTGGGCTTTCCTTATCTTTTAAAAGATTCTTCCTTACCTCTCCTCTAAATGAAGATGTTTCTCAGAGTTCTGTGCTAAGCCTCTCTTACTCTTAATTGACACACTTTGCTTAGTTCTCTTAGAGATTTCATGGTTTCAATTACTACTTTGCTTTATTGCACTTAAATGATAAGGTGTTTTACAAATTAAAGGTTTGTGGCACTCCTGTAGTGAATAAATCTATCAAAACCATTTTTCCAACAGCATTTGCTCACTTTGTGTCTCTGTGTCACTTTTTGGTAATTCTCACATTATTTCAAGCTTTTCATTTTTATTGTATTTTTTAAATTCTGGATGGGGTAATTAGGTTTATTTATTTACTTTTGATGGAGGTACTGGGTATTTTTATTATATTTGTTATGGTGATCTGTGATCAGTGATTTTTTTAGTCTTTTTAAATTTAAGTAGAGTCAGTTTACAATGTTATGTCGATCTCTGGTGTACAGCATAATGTTTCAGTCATACATATACATACCTATATTCCTTTTCGTATACTTTTTCATTATAGGTGACTACCAGATATTGAATATAGTTCTCTGTGCTATACAGTATAAACTTGTTGTTTATCTATTTTATATATAGTAGTTAGTAGCTGCTATTCTTAAACTTCCTATTTATCCCTTCCCAGGCCTTTCCCTGCCCATAACCATATGTTTGTTTTCTATGTTTGTGATTGTTTCTGTTTTGTAGATAAGTTCATTTGTGTCTTTTTTTTTTAGATTCCACATATAAGTGATATCATATGTTATTTTTCTTTCTCTTTCTGGCTTACTTTACTTAGAAGGACAATCTCCAGATCCATCCATGTTGCAGCAAATGGCAGTATTTTATTATTTTTTATGTCTGAGTAGTATTCCATTGTATACATATACCACAACTACTTTATCCAATCATTTGTCAATGGACATTTAGGTTGTTTCCATGTCCTGGCTATTGTAAATAGTGCTGCTATGAACATTGGGGTGCATGTATCTTTTTGAATTAGTTTCCTCCAGATATATGCCCAGGAGTGGGACTGCTGGATCATATGGTAAGTCTATATTTTAATGTTTTGAGGAATCTCCATCCTGTTTTCCATAATGGCTGCACCAAACTGCATTCCCACCAACAGTGCAGGAGGGTTTCCTTTTCTCCACACTCTTTCCTGAATTTATTGTTTGTGGACTTTTTAATGATGGCCATTCTGACTGGTATGAGGTGATACCTCATTATAGTTTTGATTTGTATTTCTCTGATAATTAGCGATATTGAGCATTTTTTCATGCACCTGTTGGCTATCTGTATGTCTTCACTGGAGAATTGCTTGTTTAGGTCTTCTGCCCACTTTTGGATTGGCTGTTGTTGTTGTTGTTGTTGTTGTTGTTGTTGTTGTTAAGCTATATAAGCTGTTTGTATATTCTGGAAATTAAGCCCTTGTCGGTCAAATCACTTGCAAATATTTTTCCATTCTGTAGGTTGTCTTTTTGTTTTTAGTTTTCTTTGCTGTGCAAAAGCTTGTAAGTTTAAGAAGGTCCCATTTGTTTGTTTTTGCTTTTATTTCTATTGCCTGGGTAGACTGCCCTAGGAGAACATCACTAAGATTTATGTCAGAGAATGTTTTGTCCATTTTCTTCTAGAAGGTTTATAGTATATTGTCTTGTGATCAGTGATCTTTGATGTTACTATCGTAATTGGTTTTGGGCATCATGAACTGCACCTATATATGACAATGAACTTAACAGATAAATGTTGCCTGTGTTCTGACTGCTCCACAAACTGGCCATTCCCCACCCCTCTCTCTCTCTTTGGGCCTCCCTATTCCCTGAGACACAACAATATTGACAATAAGCCAATTAACAATTCTACAATTTGCTTTTAGTATTCAAGTAAAACAAAAAGTCAGGTGTCTCTCACTTTAAATCAAAAGCTAGAAATGATTAAGTCCAGTGAAGAAGGCATGCTAAAAGACGAGACAGGCTGAAAGCTAGGTTTCTTGCACCAAACAGCCAAGTTTTGAACACAAAGGACATGTTCTTGAAGAAAATTAAAAGTGCTACACCAGTAAACACATGAATGATAAGAAAGTGAAACAGTCTTATTGCTGATATTAAGAAAGTTTTAATGGTCTGAATAGAAGATCAAACCAGACACAACATTCCTTTAAGCCAAAGCTTAATCCAGAACAAGGCCCTAACTCTCTTCCATTCTTTGAGAGCTGAGAGAAGTGAGGAAGCAACAGCAGGAAAAAAAAATGAAGCTAGCAGAGGTTGGTTCATGAGGTTTAAGAAAAGAAGCCATCTCCAGAACATAAAAGTGCATAGTGAACCAGCAAGTGCTGATGTAGAAGCTGCAGGAAGTTACCCAGAAGCTCTAGCTAAGACAATTCATGAAGGTGACTAAACATAACAGATGTTTAATGTGTATGAAACAGCCTTATATTGGGAAAAATGCCATCCAGGATTTTCACAGCTAGAGAGAAGTCAATGCCTGGCTTCAAAGCTTTAAAGGACAGGGTGACTATCTTGTTAATGCAGCTGGTGACTCGAAGTTGAAGCCAATGCGTATTTCTCATTCTGAAAATCTTAGTTTCCTTAAGAATTATGTGAAATCTACTCTGCTTGTGCTCTATAAATGGAATAACAAAGCCTGGGCAACAATACATTTGTCTACAATATGGTTTACTGAACTTAAGCCCACTGTTGAGAACTACTGCTCAGGAAAAAAATGGTTCCTTACAGAATATTACTCCTCATTGACAATGCATCTGGTCTCCCAAGAGCTCTGATGGAGATGTACAAACAGATTAATATTGTTTTCATGCCTGCTAACACAAGCATCCATTCTGCAACCCATGGATCAAAGAGCCATTTGAATTTCAAGTCTCGTTATTTAAGAAATGTATTTTGTAAGGTAATATCTTGCCACAGATGGTGATTTCTATAATGGGCAAAGTCAGTCGAAAATTTTTCAGAGAGGATTCACCATTCTAGATGCCATTAAGAAGTTCACAATTCATGGAAAGAGATCAAAATATCAAGATTAACAATTGTTTGGAAGAAGTTGATTTCAACCCTCATGACTTTGAGGGATTCAAGACTTCAGGGAAGGAAGTAACTGCATATGTGATGCAAATAGCAAGAGAACTAGAAGTAGAGCCTGAAGATGTGGCTGAATTGCTGCAATCTCATGATAAAACTTTCAAAGATGAGGAGTTGCTTCTTACGGATGAGCAAAGAAAGTGGTTTCTTGAGATGAAATCTACTCCTGGTGAAGATCACTGAAATGACAACTAAGGATTTAGAATATTACATAAACTAGGTTGATAAAGCAGCAATAGGGTTTGCGAGGATTGACTCCAATTTTGAAAGAACTACTGTGGGTAAAATGCTAACAAACAGCATTGCATGCTACAGAGAAATTGTTTATGAAAGGAACAGTCCATCGATGAAGCAAATTTTATTGTCTTATTTTAAGAAATTGCCACAGCCACCCCATCCTTCAGCAACCACTAACCTGATCAGTCAGCAGCCATCAACACTGAGGCAAGATCCTCCACCAGTAAAGCCATTATGACGTGCTGAAGGCTCAGATGATGGTTAGCATTTTTAGCAATGAAGTATTCATAAGTTAAGGTATGTGTATTGTATTTTTAGACATAATGCTATTGCACACTTAACAGACTACAGTATAGTGTAAATATAACTTTTATATGCACTTGGAAACAAAAATGTGATTCACCTTATTGGGACATTTGCTTTATTGCAGTGATACAGGAACAGAACCCAAAATATTTCTGAGGTATGCTTGTATATGCTGATGAATCCCGAAGTCCAAATCTCCACCCCAGATTTGTTTCCTATGTTTTGGTTATATATGTACACACACACGTGCATGCGCTCACGCACGCACACACACACACACACACACACACACACACACATAGATATATTCCACAGGCACTTACCTTAATATCCTCATGTCCCAAACTAATTTTATCTTTTTCCATTTCAATCTTGGTTGGTTTTTCAGCATTCCCTGCCTTAGTGTATGACACACTAACCATCCAGTACCCAGCCTAGAGTTGTGTTAATCGTCCTTGAGTCTTTACTCTTTTCCTCTCCATGCAATCTATTATTGGGTCTTAAATATTTTTATCTCCTAAATGTCTTTCTAATCATCCTTCTCTCCATCCACACTAGCATTACCCTCATCCAGGCTACATCATCTCCTAATTGGTCTCTCTGATTCCAGTCATCATCTGCAACTGATTCACTATATTTCCACCAATTTTGATTTTTCAAAAATGAAGGTGCAGTTATGTTAATCAAATGTTTAAAATCCTACATTGTATTTTAATTGCCTCTAGGATAAATTTTAAAATGCATGATATAACCCATACAATTGTTTACATCCTCACTCTTTTTACCCCAGTCTCATTTTAAAATTCTCCCTTTCCATGGTTTAAAGTTCAGTGCATACTTAACTTCTCTCTGTTCCAAAGTAATCTGTTTAGAACACTCCTTCTCCTGGATAGCTCCTTCAGGTTACAACTTGTAGTTCACTACTTTAGGAAAGGTTTCACTGATGTCCAAAAATATGGGTTAGATTTATTTAGTTTATCTTAACAGACACTTAACTAACACTTACTAACCACTTTGTAAATATTAACTCATTAGATTCCTATGATAATAATCCTAGTAGATAAGCACTGTTATTACCCCTATTTTACAGATCAGGAGGCAGAGGTACATAATTTGCCTGAGACTGAAGATAGTGAGTAGCAGAACTAGGATTCTAATGTAGAAATTTTGGATCCAGAATCCATGTTCATAACCACTATGAAATGCTGCTTCCTAGGTATAAGATGTCCTTTCTAGGTATTTCTATATGACTATTTACCTATGCACACATTGTTACTTTTTAATTACTTGCCTGCCAAATTTTCTAGCCTGTGAGCTCCATCAAGACAACGTCATGTCCTTACGTGTGTATTTTTTTAAATATACAAGTGAAAAAGTAATGACATTACTTATAATTGACTGAAATTTACAAGTGTTTACAAGAGTGTAGGGGAGAATATATTTGCTATTATTCAAGAAATGGCCTGAATAAAATATCATTTCCTCATTTCAGGACACGCTAATGATTTCTTCTTGTCAGACATTCAAAATAATGATAATTAAATGCACTGTGTGAAACTTGTCTGGATGCTGATTCACACAAACAAAAATATTTGGGGAATACCAAACACAGACTGAGTATAAATTATAACCAGGAATTACTGCTAAATTTGTTGATTGTGATAGCATATAATGTATATTTTTAAGTCCTTATCTATTAGAGATACTTAGTGAAGTATTTAGATGTAAAAATACATGACGTCTGGAATTTGCTTTAAAATACTCCAGATGTATTTATGAATTACTTATTCAAAGAGAAAAAAAATTACTGAAAAAAATTCATAGAGACACATGGTGGCGCTGCAGGATAGGATGAAAACTGCTTCTATGACACTGTGGGCTCCATTATTAAGGGGAACAGAAAACATCTAACCGACAGAGAAGAGAGCTTCACCTACAGAATGTAACCTTCCAGGAGTTTCCAACTTAAAAAAAAAATCAGAGCTTCAGCTTGCAAATTAGAGCGGAACTTAAACTTTTCCACAAAAGAGGTTTCCTGAAAGAACCATGGAGATCAGAGAGGCATTCGTTCTATGGAAAAGGCAAGTCCTGATTCTCTTTGTTTTGCTGGGATTGTCTCAGGCGGGTCCTGAGTTAGTGCGCTATTCTGTAGCAGAGGAAACAGAAATTGGCTATTTTGTGGCCAATTTGGCAAGGGATCTGGGGCTTGAGGTGGAGGAGCTCTCCTCACGGGAGGCCAGGGTAGTATCTGATGATAATGAAAAGCATTTGCACCTCGATTTGCTAACTGGGGATTTGCTCCTAAGTGGGAAAGTGGACCGGGAAGAGCTGTGTGGCTCCAAGGAGCCCTGTGTGCTACATTTTCAGATGGTACTGGAAAACCCTTTACAGTTTTTTCGGGCTGAGTTGCATATCAAAGATATAAATGATCACTCCCCTACGTTTCTTGACAAGGAAATACTTATTAAAATATCAGAAAGTACCACTACTGGAACCACATTCCAAATGGAGAGTGCCCAAGATTTGGATGTAGGAAGCAATGGTCTCCAAAACTACACAATTGTCCCTAATTCTCATTTCTACATTAAAATTCGAGACAATGAAGATGGAAAGATATACCCAGAACTGGTCCTGCACAGAGCATTAGATCATGAGGAGGAGCCTGAGCTCAGATTAACACTTGTAGCACTGGATGGTGGATCCCCACCCAGGTCTGGGACAACTTTGGTTCTCATCAAAGTCTTGGACATCAATGACAATGCCCCAGAGTTTCCTCAGAGACTCTATGAGGTGCAGGTCCTGGAGGACACACCTGTTGGCTCTTGGATTATCACCACCTCTGCTAAGGATTTGGATGCAGGAAATTATGGGAAAATATCTTACACATTTGTGCATGCAGCAGAAGATATTCGTAAAACATTTGAAATCAATCCAGTATCTGGGGAAGTTCATTTGAGATCACGCCTGGATTTTGAAGTAATACAGTCCTACACGATAAAAATACAGGCAACAGATGGCGGGGGTCTTTCGGAAGAATGCACTCTTCTGGTTACAGTAATAGATATAAATGACAATCCACCAGAAGTGATCATGTCATCAATTACAAAAATAATTCCAGAGAACGCCTCAGAGATCCTTGTGGCTCTTTTTAGTGTCCGAGACCAAGATGCTGGTGAAAATGGAAGGATCGTTTGCTCTATTCAAGATGACCTCCCTTTTTTTCTGAAACCGACCTTCAAGAACTTTTACACTCTAGTTTCAGAAAAAGCACTAGACAGAGAGGAAAAAGCTGAGTACAACATCATCATCACCGTCACAGACATGGGGACACCAAGGCTGAAAACGGAGCACAACATAACCGTGCTGGTGTCCGAC